GCGGCGGATCCCGGGCGCAATGTCATTGGCAGGGAGAGGGAGGGGGGCCTTGGGGGGACCCGGGAGTGGCCCCAGACACCTCAGTCCGCCCTGACTCCCCCTTCCCCGGCCGTCAGGTTTCCGCCAGCCCCGCCGGACGCCTGGACTCGCCCTGACCCTGCGGCTGACTCGGCCACGCCATGCCCCGCCCCAAACCCACCCCCCGGCGGCGTGGCGCTCCCCGAGCCCCCCCATCGCCCCGGCCGCGGGCACGCAGTGAGTGAGGGGCAGGGGACGCCCCTTACTGACACCCCCTGTGGACCTCCCACATCGAGCCCCTTTTAGACCCCCCTCCAGAGCACTCCTACGGACTCCCCCATTGTTGTCCTCCGTCCCTAGCCTGTGCAGTAGATACCCCTATATGCTTCCATCACTATAGTCACTCCACACTCCCTCTCCCCTATAGCTCTCTATTGCCTGTCAACCAAGACTCCTAAACAACTGACCAGTATGACCAAGCAAAAGCCATATATTCTTTACATTGCACACACTTTTATAGATTCTACAAACAACTAAGATCACACTTATTGATTGGTGCCTTTGTCTTGTTCCCTCATTCTCTGCCTCCACTTCTCAGCTTCCGTTATTTGTTACCATGCAGGTGTTCTACAGTTCTCTGTTATCTAGTTCTTGTGATCCTGTGGTTTCTCAGCTTCTTCATTCTTATTTTAGCACAGTTTATGCCTTAGTAACCTTATGAATTCCTGAGAAAATTCTGGTAAGAACAGTTACAAGTGGTATGGCTGGTGCACACTGAGGCCCAAGTTGTTCAGATACATTGCTACAACCCCCTACACCCTGTTCCTCAAAACCCCTCATACTCCCTGTCCCCTATAATTCCCCTATATTGGCCATCACTGTAGCTCTCTACAGATCCCTCATACCTGCAATGTCCCCCCAGACCTTACAGATCCCTTATAACCTCCACAGCTTTCCCCTGTTCCCTAGGCCCCTATAGGCCCCCGCATAGAGACCCCTGTGTTCTGCCAGGCCCTATGGATCTCTTATACCCCCCCATGTTCCTTCAGAGCCCTCCATCTGTGCTCCCCAGGCCAAACAGATCTGCTAAAGCCCTCACAGACCCCTATCCAATGCCCCTGCAGGACTCCGCCCAGGTCAGCGGGCATTGCAGGAGATCCGCAGGTACCAGAGCAGCACCCGCCTGCTGCTGCGCCCCGGCCCCTTCGCCCGCCTGGTAAGGACCCCCCACATCCCAAAATGAACACTCCTGCCGTAAAATCCCCAGACAATGCAATTTCCCCCACGGAACCTTCCCAGTGCCCCCCATGGACTCCCAAACTCCCCTGGGACTGCACAGATCATCCCAGATACCCATAGAATCTACTTTAGGACCCCCAAACCCCTCCAGGCCACCCCCAATTTCACCTAGAACCGCCAACATTGTCTGGTATCTTCCAAACCACTCTGGATCCCCTCTTCTGGGATGCCGAAATCCATCCCAGATCAACACTTTCAGACCCTGCAACCTCCCCCAGAGCCTTTAAATCCACTCTGGGACCCTTCAGCTCTCCACAGGATTCTCCCAAATACCCACTGGGACTCTTCAAACAATCCACTGGACCCCTTAAAATCCAACCCCAAATCCACCCTAGGCCCCCTGAAATCCAGCCTGGAACCCTCCAACCTCCCCTTGACCCCCTCCCTAAAACCCATTGGGACCCTGCAACCCCGTACAGACCAACCAAGTTACCCCCCCCAGAACCCCAGATCACCCCCAGGACTCCTTAGGACCACCCTCTTTCCCCAGGGCCCCCACTCAACCCTGTTCCAGCCCTCCCCATGTCCTTGTCCTCCCCGTCCTCATGACATAGTGGGCCTGTCCTCCCCCAACATCCTTGCATATCCCCCAATATCCTTCTGTGGTTCCTGACATTTTTGTGACCTGCCACCTTCATGGATTGAGTGCTCCCTGTGCCCCTCCCACCGTGCTGGCACTGTCCCTTCTGTCCGATCAGGGTGTCTCCAGGGGAGTGTCCACATGTTCCCATGGCTGAGGGTGTTCCCAAGATGTTCCTAGAGTGGTGCTTCCCCCCTGCCTCCCACCTGGGATCTCTGCAGGGTGTCCCTATCATGGTGTTCCCACATCCCCACTCCCCAGTGTATCCTCAGGGGTTCCTGTCCCCTGTGTTCCTGTACCTGGAGTGTCCCCAAAGTGTCTCCAGGGTGATAACAAGGGTGTCCCCAGGTCCCTGGGATGTCTCCAGGGCAGCGTCTCCATGTCTCCAGGGTGTCGCCATGGTGGTGGCCCCAGCCTGGGATGTCCCCAATGCCCCCATATTCCATCCATGTTGTCCCAATGTCCCCTCTCTCCCTGTGACCCTGATGCCACCATGTGGCCCCCTCCCCGTGCCCTCTCTGCCGCAGGTGCGGGAGATCTGCCTACTCTTCACCCGCGGGGTGGATTACCGCTGGCAGCGCATGGCCCTGCTGGCGCTGCAGGAGGTAGGGGTTGGAGTGGTGGAGGGGGTTCACAGAGGGGCTGGAGGTGTCCTATGGGTCCTCCTGGGGTATCCAGGGAACAAGGGGTTGGGGAGGGGGCTGAGGGGGATCTCATGGGTGCTGAGAAGGGACATGGGGGATGGGGGATTCTGTGGCTGCTGCAGGGGGGTGTGTGGGTGCTGGGGGTGTCTCTGGGGGGCTGGGAGGTCCAGGAAGGTCTCTTTTGGTGCTTGGATGAGGCTGAGAGGTTTGTTGGGTATGTGTGGTGGGAGCTGAGGGGGAGTCTAGGAGAATCTCCATTGGCTGGGGGGGGGTCTATGGGTTCTTGGACAGGGTTCCATGGATGTTGAGAGGGCCTCTGAGAGACCTCTGGGTGGTGGGGGTGTTCTCTTATTCCTGAGGTCTGTTGGGGACTGGGGATGGGTCACTGGGTGATGGTGTCCCCGCACACATTTACAGGCACTGGGTGTTTCAGTCCCCCCAGTTACCTGTGGGTGGGTTTGGAGGAACCCTGCCCCCTGGGTGTGTGTTTTGGGGGGGGCATTCTCTGCCTGGGGGAAGAGCTGTGGGGGTTGGAGCTTGCTGGGGGGCTTTGGGGACACCCCCTCACCTTTTAGGACACAGGCGGCAGAGGCCTTCATCGTGCGGATGCTGGAAGATGCGTACCTATGCTCGCTGCACGCCCGCCGAGTCACCCTGTTCCCCAAGGATCTGCAGCTGGTCCGGCGCCTGCGAGGAGCCGAGGCGGGGGGCATCTGAATGGCGACCCCCCTGAGCCCCTGCACAGACTCAACCCCCCAGACCCCTGTACCAGGACCCCCACCCTGAGGCTCACTCCTGACAATCTCACACCCCTAATTTTATTGGGACCTCCTATGGTATCATCATGCTGAGACACCCCCCACCATGGAGTCCCCCAAAGCTGGGGCCCTATCCTGACATGCCCAATCTGATTTAGGATCCACTTCCCCAAGACTCCCCATATGGACCCACCCCATAGACTCCCCCCTATTGGATCCCCACCTCAGGATCCCCAACAATCCCTTCAGGGATCCATCCCAGAGTGGAGGTCCCTTTCCTTAGTCCAGCACCCATGACATTATTGAGGAGTGCTACCCATGATTCCCCTGGAACCCTGCTCACCAGGTGCACTCCAATAAGTTAATAAATGTTTGTGACTCCTAGGTGCTGTTGCTGGGGAGGATGAAGGGGATTTGAGGATGAGGCATCTCAGGGGGGAGCTCTGGAGGGGAGGAGAAGCCACAGGGAGGGGGATTCTGAGAGTATTTTGTGTATGGGCACCTGGGATGGGGGCCAGGAAGGTCTTGGGGCCTAAGGGGTTCCATGTATAGTGGTGCGGGGGGTCGCCTAGGGGGCGGCACTTAGGGGATTTGCTTTTTGAGCGGGGCGTCAGGGCTTTAGGGGTGGTGCTTAGAGGTAGTTTGAAAGTGGGTAGGGCTGCCTGTGGAGGTGGGACTTAGTTCCTCTGTGGGGGTGGGACTCTGGAGGTTCCCCCATCCATGGGCGGAGCTCTGGGGGTCAGGCTTCAATGGGATCCCCTCTATGGGGCAGGGCTTGGGGGCCACACCCGGGGGGCGGCACTGCGGGGGTTCTGGGCCCTCCCAGGCTGCAGTTACCACTACTGCCACTTGGGGCGCTGCTGAGCGGGGAGGCACTGCCCCGGCAGGTTGTGCCTGCACCTGGGGGTGCAGGAGGGACCCCAGAATGGACCCACTCAACCCCAATCCTGCCCTGGGACCCCAACTCCTCCCATCCTCATGCCTTGGAGACCCCCCCCAAGTTGTGATATTAAAAAAGAACAATAAACACCTGGGCCCCCCCCCCCCCCCCAACCTCAGAACCCAAAACCTACCCTGGAACCCCAAATCCCCTCAAACCTGCCCATCCCTGCCATCCTTGGGGTACTCTCTGAGCCCCCCAAACCTCAGGGACACCAAAAATCCTCCCTAAAACCCAGCCCAGACCCCTCCCACCCGGTTTGGAATACCTCCGGTTTTGAGGTCCCCTCAACCCTCTTTTTTCCCCAGACAGGCTGGTGCTGAGCTTGGTGGGGAATATTTTTTTTAATGAACTTTCAAGGAAAGTTAACAATTCAAATTGTGGACAGAACAGAAAATTGCTTTTACTAAAGTCCACTCTCTAATGACCCTATATGCAGCAGTACATCTGATGATGAGGAAATTACATTACAACCCCAAATTAAAGATGAAACCTTCTATGATAAGTCAGGGTCAGCACACTTTTACTAAAACAGTGTGGTACATAGCAGCCAAGATAGCAAGGTTCCAGGAAAAGTATAGAAGACTTACATGGTAATTGGAAACTGGATATGTTTGGAGAGGGCCTCTGGCAGGGGTTGATTGAATCATTTGAAGCAGAGGCCCAGGGCTTCTGGAGGCCAGAAGTATTTTTAATGGTGGTGACCAGAGGAAACTGTGGTCTTTAACTCAGAGTGCCGCCTATTGAGCAGGAGGTTGGATCCATTAAAGAGGAGTGATTTGCTTAGGATTGAGATCCCAACCATAGATCATGGACAGAGAATGTACCAAAGGTAGCATTTTTACAACTGAGGAATGACAGATGTTCCAGGACAGCCCTCACCTACCTCACTGGTTATCTAAGTATGTGGCTCCCATGGTTGGAGTTTTGCTGAACAAAACACTGCGGCAGAATTTCAGGATCACCTGACGCAAGTGTTTACACCACAGAAAGGAAGACAAGGGAAAAGAACCTTAACATGGGGATAGGGATCTTCAGGGCTAATTAGCTATGACAGAAGGATGGGTTTCACTGAACAATAAGTAAACAGAACAACAATCAGAAATTGGAATTGCAGCAAGGAAGTGGACTGCCCAAAAGGGAGCAGCAGGGTCCCAGTTCATGATAGAATGCAGTGTGAGCAAAAGGTTTGCATAAAGGAATTTCTCGGGAAGTGATAAATTATCCACTGTTATTCTAGAGAATGTAGTGCCTGGAATGTAGTGCCTGGGGAAAAGGAAAGTTGCACTCCCTTGCCACAAGAAGGATAAAGATGTTGGTGTAGGAGTTGGAACTCCTGAGAGACCTATAATTACTATGGCCCCACAGGCTAATGTTGTTAATTGGAGTCTTAGAAACAACTTTTAATATCCTCAGTGAGTTGTGGGCTGGCAGCTGCAAACATTTAAGGAGGCTTACCAAAAATAAGACTTAGACAGAATATGAGGTATCAAAGTCACTATTGGCTTCTGAGATGGGGACAGGAGAAAAACTGAGAATTCAAGTGGATAAACTTATGACTAAGAAAGATCATCTTAGGACCCTACTTGCTGCAGCAGAGTGTAAGGAAAGACAATTATTTGAGAATTTGAATAGGGAAAAGTATAGAAGAGAGAAACAAGACCTGAGAGAGGAAACCTGATTTATCACTGTTGGCTGAGAATTGAACAGTTGCATAAACAGTTCCAGGAAGAAAAGGAGAAAAGATGAAAACTGAAAAAAAAGGCAAAGGTGATGCTTAAACAAGCTACCAATTCACCCTGTGTTGTGCATTCCATTCATTTGCAAAGCATTCCAGGCACAAGCCAAGTGAGGCTGAAATGCAACAAGTGGAACCCTATGAATACATTTGTAATGACTCATACATCCCGATTCAGGCTGATTCTTGTCAATGATTAATTACATTTCTAATAGATACAGGAGGACAACATTCAGCACTAACAAAGCAGGATGCCAAGAAGCTGGATGTATGACCCAGATGCCAAGAGTTAAAATCACTTTAGTAAATGGCGCAAATGTTATCTACCAAATTCCTAAGATTAATTTATGGGTCCTGGATGAGAAGTGGATATTGGCAACTTGCTTTGCAATCAAGGATCACAATGACAATGGTCCTAGACTGCAAGGCAAGATGTAGTCAATTGTCATGTGTTAGAGGTGTGGCAGTTATCTTCTTTTAATTGGACCATTTTTCTTTATCTCATCCACATACCAATCCTCTCTGCTGGGGAGACATCAGCTGATAATGGGCTACTGAATGTCACTGCATGACTGATAAAGTTGCAGCATCCCATTGTGAGATGCTCTGCCCAGAGGGAGGAGCCAAGCATTCCTACCTGGATATAATCTAGAGTTTCTGGAACACCAGCATGGCTTTTTCTGCACTGGATTTCCCAGAGGAACAGCTGCCTCTTCCACTGCATGTTCAGAGGAAGAACCTTTTCGACAGGATCACTGCTCCAACAAAACCACACCTGACACTCCAGGAAGACTGCAGCCATAATTCGCATTGGACTGCTGCCAACAACCTGACTAACAGGATGTCACGTTTTATTCTGACTCTGTCAGTGCTGTTTTAGTTTACTGCATTGTTTCTTCTTTTATTTTCTTAATAGAGAACTGTTATTCCTGCTCCCATATTTTTGCCTAAGAATGCCCCTTAATTTCAAATTTATAACAATTCGGAGGAAGGGGGTCTACATGTTTTTTTTTTTTTTTTTCCATTTCAAGAGAGGCTTCTGCCTTCCTTAGCAGATACCTGTCTTTCCAAACCAAGACAACAGTATTTAGGGTTTTGATGTTCTGCAAAACCAAATCTCTTGTTTGCCTGGTGGCAATGAGTCAATGTTTGAACATTAGCCCAAACTCTAAAAGGAGTCCAGAGACTGTGCTGACTCCATGTGGCGCCTGTACTCACTGATCCAAGGACTGCTAGTGTGTCCCCATGTGCGGATGGCCTTAGACAGCTTCCCCAGGGTGCCCGTGGCACCTAGGGCATCTCCGCTTTGGCCTGTGTCGGCAACTCCCCCAGCCCACCAGACTCCCAAGTCCAGATGGTGTAATAAAAGCCTCACCAGAATGATGAGAGGGCTCTTGGTACAATTCAGCAGGGTTTATTAGGGAGAAATCTGAGGGTCCAGGCAGGGTAGGAGTGGGCAGAATCCAAGGAGGCAGGGTAGAATCAGGAACACAACTTCTGCTGAAGGGAATCTGTGGCAAAGAGCCAGGACCAGGGGAGGGGTTAGGGTATATCACTGAGGGGAAGTGGAAAGGGTCAGGATACAAATCATTCAATGGAGAGAGGAGTCAGGAGAGGAGTTGGAGTGGGGTGACTTGACCTGTACCCATGGGGAAGGAAGGACGGAGTGGTTTTCCAGTGAGGATTAATGGGGGAACAGGAGATACAGTATTTTCTAGAACCAGGGAGTGAATGTCTGGTGACTGACAACTATACATTTGCCTGAAAAAGCAAGGTATCATAGGAAGTTGCACCAGTCTCTATGTTAAATGATGGTGCTTTCCCATGACATCCCAGCCCTGTCTTCCCCATGGGCATCTCCCACACCCGTGCTGGATTTTTGCTGCAGGGAGAAGTGGAATTTCTGAAGTTCTGGCCAATTAGGCCCCACTAACATTTGAAGTACCTGTCACTGTCGAGGCAGGACGGGAATGAGAAGACTGGCTCAGAAGGCCTCTGAGAGTAAAACTCCAGTTTATTTAAATACACTGCTCTTTTATACAGAGCTTCGTGAGGACCAATTCCATTGGTCCTGAAGTGAAAACAACTCAACCATTGGTGCAAAGTGCTTGACGCACAGTGGTAGAACATAACTATAAACAATGTGAATAACAAGAGAGATAAAGAATTATTTACATTCTTTTCCAACTCTTTCCCAGGCTTGTGCCTGGATAGAAACTCTCCATTTCTCTCTTTGACTGAATCTGAGACCCACATTTCCCCCTTTTTGTTTAAAGAAGGAGGTGGTGTTTGTCTCCTTTCTGTGAGGCGTCTTGCAGAAGAGAGGACAAACATGACCCCGAGGTTCACTAGTTGATAATTCCAAACCTCATTGGATGTTGGCTCAGAATGGTCAAAGAGATTCCAAACTTATAATTTTCAAGGAATCAGTTACCAACTCTAAGATAGTAGAAACTCGTCAGACTGCCAAAGGACTGGCAGTCCAACTTATCAAAACCCATTTCCCAATGTGAGCATGACATGACAGAAAATAAGGTATTTACAACAGGTGCACATACCCAAATCAGCCAAATTTGAATTTGGCAAGATGAATAATATCTGTTTGCCACAGCTGAAAAGCCTTTAGGCCTCTGGGATTTGTCCCAGCCAGTAAGGTGCAGCAGGTCAAGCCTTGGTTGGCATTCATCAGAATTGCTTTTGCAAGGTGTGTGCACTTGATAGAAAAATCATGCAAGGCTTTGCCTATGTAATCATGTCCTCAATGGACAGCTTGAGTGATGAAATTGAATTGAGATCCAAATTACATCCTCAAGGCTTTCAGAACAATTGAGTGAAATTGACCCAATTCAGAAAGGACCAAATTCACAACACTTGAGAAACCTCTGAAATGCCAAGAAATCTCTGAAATGCCATGGCCACAGCCCTTAATCCAATCAATTGGATTGAGGTTGATTCGTGGCTTTCCAGTACTTTGAGCTGTTAGTGAAAACACAGCTCTTTCTGCCTTTTTTTTTTTTTTTTTTAATAGCCAGCGGCGGGCTCTGGGACCCAGCGATGCTTGGCAAGGCGGGAGACCCGGCCCCGTGGGCAGGGCCAAGTGTCGAAAACCCGGCCGGGAGGGGCGGGGAGCCCAGGCTCAATGCTGAACCAAGATTCACCTGGTTCAGCCCTCAGCTTCTATTTGGTATTTCCTGGAGTCCCTGAATCTGGGGTCCCTGGGACACCCCATGACCACCGATAAATGAGCGACCTCCCCCAACCTTATAGTTCAGTGCGCGATCACAACAGGCTGCGAGAAAACCGGCAATTCCCCCGAGTTTCCGCCCTCCCCCCACCCCGCTTAGCCATGGGTTTTTCAACAGCTTCTCGGCATCCCGCTCTGCGAACCACAAGAGCAGGATGCGCAGGGTGCGAGAAGGGGGTGTTTGCCTGGGAATATAAAATTCCACCCAAGCCCACCCAGTACAACGGGCTGCTCCTCTTTCCCAGTGTGTCTGCGCTGCTGCGGAATGCAATTCCTCGCTACACAGCTCCCTGATTTGCGTCCCCATCCCCTCATTCCCACCTCCGGGACCAGCAGCAGTGGCGCTGCCGCTGGCCAAGTCGGTGTCCCCCCCGCCGGCTCTCCCTCGGAGAGGCAGAGCCCGGTACAGTCTGGAAGCAGCGAAGGGCTGGATTCAGTCTGTGAAACAAACAGGCTGGACTCAATGTCCAACACGGGGCTCTCGGCCGCAGGAGTCGCTGCTGATGAGCCAGCTTCAGGGGACGTGGCGGCAGAGGCCACAGCACTTCGGCCGATTCTGAGGTCGGCGGCGGCAGCGGCGCTCTTGGCTCTTGCAGCTGGAACGCAGCAGGCAGCACGGGCACCGGAGCCGCAGCGGGCAGCGCCACAGCTGCGGCGGCTTCTCCTGGGCGTGACACTGCCGGTCCCGGAGTGGGCGTAGGTGAGGCGGCTGCTGGAGCAGCGGTGGGCGGGACGGTGAAGCCTGCTGTCGGCAGGGGTGGTGCCATGGCAGGCATGGCGTGCAAGGCAGACACCACCCCTGATGTGGGAGTCCGTCCCACAGTGGGCAGCGAAGAGAACAACATGGGTGTCCCGCCCAAGACGTGCTGTTGGACAACTGATACCAGCACAGTAAATGAAGTCAAAGCAGCCGGTCCGCATGGCGCGCAGAGGGGCGGACCGGGAGTCAAAGTCTGTCCCACCAGCACAGTCGAAACCCCCGCGGGTGGCGGTGGGCATGCCAGTGTTATAATCGAGCACAAGAGGCCATCTGATCCGATTAACAGAATTTATTTAATTCATTTAAGAGAGTATATGAGAGCAAAGCAAAAAGCAGCGCTGCGGCGACAGAGAGGAGCAACCGCTCCGCCAAACTGCCGCGCCGTGATCCCCCTAGCTCACTGTTTTTATCCCCTTCCTTAGTTCACGCGTTTCTTCTGCGCAATCGCATTCTGTTGCTAAGTGGTCGTTTTCTGCCTCCTGGTGGTCGTGGGATGAAGGCTGGTTGTCTTCCTCACAGGTGTC